AGAGGTAATCGAAAAAAATATGACTGCTTAACTTTTAAAAAACTTATTACAGTAAAATGTACAGTAAAATGAATACCAAGTATATTCAAAGCAGGGAGCAGGGTTTGCAGAGGCATGCATGGGAATGTGTCCTTTACTGTAACACATTTTTAAAATTTTAAACATTCACCATAATTTTGAGTCACACATCTTGTAAGCAGTTTGTTTGAGCCTCAGTTTTCTGTTGCTGAGACAAAATACCTGGTGTCCACAGCTTAATGGAAGACAAGGCTATTTTGGTTTGTGGTTTCAGGGGATTCCATCTATGGTCAGCTGGCTCCAAGGCAGACATGGTGGAGGAAAGCCATTCACCTCATGACACCTGAGAAGCAAGGAGGCCAGGGAAGAGCCAGCAAGCAAGGGCCAGGGACCAGATACAGTCCCCAAATTTACACCTCTACTTTCTGCAATGAGCCTCACCTAGCAATGGATTAGCCCACCGAGGAGGAAACTCTCTCTCCCAGTCTAGCCACTTCTCCAGGAACCTCTTAGTCTCATCAAGCTGCCAATCAGGACTGACCATGTACAGGGTCTTCACTACATCTCCAAATCCAGGCCTGTCTACTTCTGCTGGGTGCTGGCCCCAGGTGGGATGGGAACACAGGGAACCTGGGAACAAATGGGGAGTCAGGCTGTGTCCTGTTCACTGGGGCCTTGTCCTGCCTCCAGTGCAGTCCAGTGAGGCTGGGACAGGACTCCAACTTTTCTCTCTCCCATCATCCTGAGGCAGGCAGTATGTTACCCAGAGGGCTTCCTCTGAAGCCTGTCCCCTGTGCCCACATGTCCTCGCCCCTCCGCCTGCCTCCCCACCTTGCCAGCTTGGCCTCACCCACTCCCTCCTGTCCAGCCTCCTCTCTGGCCACCTTTTCCCTCTGCTGCTTTCTGTCTGCATAGGTTTCTTCATTTTGCCCCCAAAAGGAAAATAAAAGCCACCCTGACTTGACTTGTTTTCCCGACCCAGGTGTCATCCAGGTCCCTGCCCTCCCTGGCCAACCTGCAAGGACTCTTGGTGTGAGAGGCCTGTGTAGCCTGAGGACAATGCCTTGGTGATGCAGGAACACTGTTGAGTGGCCACCTGACAGAGGCGACTGTTACTTGCAGAGAAGTCAGTGACTCCAGGCCGTCTGCTGGGAAGAGGCTGACTGTGGTGGGTCCAATTCTGAGCCATGCAGGGCCCTGCCTGGCAGGAAGCCCGCAGACTGTGTCAGCCACCAGAACTCATCGTCCTGTCCTGAGCCAGCCCCACTCAAGGCTCCTCAGTGTCCTGAATGCAAGGGGCACAAGGACACAGTCACACAGTCTCTGGACTGCTCACACCTGCTTGCACCCTGGATGTGGTCCCTTCCTGGCCCTCTCCTGCCTTCTGCCTGCTCCCTGCCCTGCTCCTTCCCCTCTCCTTTGGCGCCTCATCTCCCCATCCCTTCAGCAGGGAAGAGCCTTCCAAGAGGGAACATATTTGAAAAGAAAACTGATGTGGCTGATGGTACAGATATGATTTTTATTTTTTTGAGATAGGGTCTTGCTATGTAGGCCAGGCTAGCTTTGAATTTTCAGAGATCCTACTGCCTTGGCCTCTCTGCTTGTCTGGGAAGTGACATCAGAAATAGGGAGGGATGGAGCAGGGAAGTGCTCATTCTTCTAAGTCTAGTAGTACAACTAGTCAGTTTCATTTATGGTTTATGTACAGTCAGCAGTACTGAAGATGGTTTGGGTCAACATAGCTAGCTTAGTGTCTCACTTACTCAAACTCTAATTCAGGCAGATGTGATTTTTTTTGGAGACAGGGTCTCGCTCCAGATGGGCCTTGAACTTGCAGGGATTCACAGCCTCCCAAGTGCTGGGATCACAGGCATGTGCCACCCTGCTTGGCTTAAGTAGATACAATTAAAATCTGTCACCTGTCTGAGTGACAGAGGGCAGCCTCAACCGTCCCTGTGATTTCCAAAGTACCTTCCTAATGCTGCCCAGAATTTGTTTAGTCAGCCCGCAGTTAGTTATGCAAGCAATTTCTTGTCCTGGGCTTGAACACAGGACCTTGTACTGAGCTGTATCCTCAGCCTTTTTAATTTTAATTTAATTTTATTTATTTTGGTATCAGGGATGGAAATCACAACCTTGTGCTTGCCAGGCAGGCATTTATGCCACTGAGCTAAATTTTTATTATTTCCTTTGAGGCAGGGTCTGACTAAATTGTCCAGCTTGACCTCAGACTTTTGAACCTCTTGCCTCGGTTTCTGAGAAGCTGGTATTAAAGGTGAAATCAATCTCTTAGTACGTATTTTCTACTCTTCTGCTTCTGTGGATGAATCCAGACTGATATAAATGCCAGTTGAAATTTTTTTTCTAGTGCTAGGCATTGACAAGCTTAGCAAATCCTCTACCACTGAGCTACATCCCAGCCTTAATTTTTTTTTTTTTTAAATTTTAAGATAGGTCTTCAATAAATTTCCCAGGCTGGCTTGGAACTTGTGATCATCTTGCCTCAGTTTCCTGAGTAGTTGGGGTAACAGGTATACACCACCATGGTCAGCACTAACTGAATTTTCTAAAAAATCCATTTTATTCAAGGAGGAGGAGGAGGAGGAAGATGAGGATGGGGAGGGGGAGGAGGGCAGGAGGAGGAGGAGGAAGAAGAGGAGGAGGACTTCTTGAGGAGCAGTACTACTTGAATTTTTAAGCCACCTAATGCAGATTATTTTGATGCAACTCTACACTGAAATAGAAGTTTGATAAATAAAAGTTCAATCACCTGGAAAAAAATAAAATGAAACATGAATTAGAAAAGGGATGGGAAAAATACAGAGAAATGTTTTTAACAGTTATCTCAGGGTGACAGAACTACAGGTATTATGGTAGCCATTGCCAAAACAACCTTTGTCTAATGTCAGTGCCAGTGTACACTTTCAATGTCAATATGCCCCTGAACTTTCTCTTGGGTCCCCACAATGTCCCCTTAATGAGTCCAAACTGACAGGACTTAAATTAAAAGTAATAGGATGGTTTAAATGATCCAACTCAGGTCTTTGAATTTAGGTGCTAACAGGATTCATGACCAAATTTTAGCAAGAGAAACTGTTTACTGTTGTATCATCTGGAATTCTTAGTTGTCACAACATAAGCCACAGTGGCTAAGATGTAGCAGGAAAGGAGCTTATCAAGGGAGGTTATATGCAGGAGAGTAGGTAATCAGGCTTCTATACCATGGTGTTGGGAACTTAAATGACATGCCAGAGCTGCCCTGGTGGCCACCCATGACCCCCACAGCGCTCAGGCCCCGAAACTGGTCCAGGCTGGAGGTCTCCACCATCCTTGAGTCAGAGTGCATTCCACAGGGTGCCTGGCTTCTCAGACTTTCCCAACCGAAGTTTTATGAGTACTTCTGTGATTGATGGAGCCCAAGGCGCCTGCCTGCATTCCAGTTGCAAAGGATGCTGGGAGAGTCAGTTTCTGACTGTGCTCTAAGAGGAGATGTGGAATCAGTGGGTGAAGAATCTTTATAAAACTGGCGGGAATTTATGTCCAGACAGCTCAGTGCAGGATTCTCAGAGGTTTTGATAAAAGCCAGATCCATATTTATTGGTGCCATCAACTGAGAGAGCAATACAGCTGTTGCCTGGGTCACCTGCAGGAGGGCTGCTCAGGCTGGCAGGGCTGTCACCCCAGCTGGATCCCATTGAACAAACTGCTGCCCCTTCCCTGCCAGATGAAGTGACCCACGGTGCCTTCCAGGGCTGCTGGCTTCTAGTGCCCACCTCCACATTCTCTGTGCCATGCTGGGGTGGTCATTACCCCTCTGTGCCTGGGGTAGTAGACCCCATGTACTCGAGCTAGGACATTCTCCTGGGAGTACCCAGGAGACACAGCTGCACCACAGGTTGTTTTGGGTCCATCTCCTCCTTGAGAAGTCAGTGTTCTCTTGGAAAAGGCCTATAGTTTTTCCTAGGAAATAATCTGATAGACAAAGATACAATTTTTAAAAAATGGAGCACCAAAGAGAAAAAAATCACAAATATGTAGTTCAGTGAGTTTTGACCTACTCTGAAGAAAGAACAGTCCTAGAATTCCAGAAAATTCTCTTGTGCCTCTTTCAATGATTACTCCATAAGACAACCACTACAGACACCATACATTAATTCGCTAATCCAGGAAGGCAATGTGGAATCCAATAGCATGTGCTCTTTTGTGTCTGACTTCTTTCACCCAACACTAAAGGCTCATAAGATCTCTATTTTCCTGTTTGTCTTTTCCTCAGTATGCCGCAACGAACAAATAGGACTGCAATTTTAAAAACTGTGGGTCACAGCAGTGCACGCCTGTCATCCCAGCACTTGAGAAACTGAGACAGGAAGATGACTTTCAGTTCAAGGGCTGCATAGTGACTTTAAGGCCAGCCTGAGCTACAAAGGGAGACCTCATCTCAAAAAAATCCAGTGACAATAATAATGACAATAAGAAAGATAGTAATAATAATAGCAATACTTGCCAATCATCATGTTTTCAGAGAATATAGGATATTTTTGGTTTGGCAAGCAGAAAAAAGAATAGAACTTGAAAAATCAGGGAGCTATACAAAAGCAGTTTATCATCACACATATGTCGATAGCAGGGCCACAATGAAGATGTCGCAGAAAGTTGACAGAGTGGCTCTGACTTTCTCTTGGGCCCCTGCTGACCCCCCAAGTCCAGACTGTCCTTCTTGAAGGATGTGTCTGCCAGTGCCTGGATGCCTCTGTCAGGGACAACGGGGGGTCCTAGCACAGGTCAAGACAGCAAAGTGTCTCTGGATCTGCTTGGACTGGGCCTGGGGCCAGAGACTGTGGGTTTCCTTGCCTCTGGCTGCAGAGATTCTAGGCTGGACACTGGCTGTGTCTGGGAGGGGCAGTGAGCTCACAAGAGGGAGTGGCCAGGGCTCACTTCCCCTCAGCCTTGAGCCTGTTGTTATAAGCATGGCCAAGGGGTTGAGCCAGTCATACCCTCTCAGAGTCTGTTCTGCAGAGCACACACTGGTGGTAGTGGGTCCAGTATGCTGGCCAAGGGGCTTTCCTGGAATTCAGTGCTGGTCAAAGCCTGCCAAGACTTCCTGGGCACCAGCTGGCAGAGCCTAGCAAATCATCCCAAGGTGCTCACTAGAAGCATGGCTGGCACCTCTGCCCACAGTCCTCGCCCCTTCCGTGAGATCCCTTCCCCGGGTGACAATGGTTGGCTAAACCTGTACCATTTCTGGAGGGAGAAAGGCACTCACTACATCCACCATCACCACGTCCAGAATTTCCAGAAGTACGGCCCCATTTACAGGTGAGCCTGGGGGTGGGCGGAGGCAGGCTGGATGTGGGCCCAATGTGGGCTCCCTGCCTCTCATCTTTTCACTGCTGGTGAACAAAGATGACTTCTCTCTACTCCTGGCCCAGAGACCTCAGCCTTCCCTGGGGGAACTGTAGGTTAGGGTGTGTGTGTGTGCGCGAAAGAACAAGCCCCCCTTCATGGATACCTATGAAGGAAGTTTGTTGGTCCCCAAGTCAGAGGCTCCGATTGAGGCTCAGGCTTCCTGAAACCCATCAGAGCCCTTTTGTCACCCCACCCTGTAAAGCTCTGGGCTGTCCCCTTGCTTTGGGAAGCATCTGCCTGGTTTCTGCCAGCCATAAGATGATGCCCTCTGCCCAGCTTAGAAGCATCCGAGTCGGTAGCCTGGATGCCACTCCTGACAGCAATATCCAGGGCAGGGCAGTGCTGGCTATGGTGGCTGAGGGTGGAGTGGCCTGGGAGAAGGGGGGCCAGTAAGTTCCAGGGCCGTTAAGCCACTCAAAGAATTTTAGCAGCAAGGTGGTGGTGGGGAAGGTAGCGTGTGCCTGTGCGTGTGCTTGTGCGTGCGCGCGCGCATGTGCAGTGGGTCCTGTCCTGTACTCTCTCCCCTTCCCTTCCCTTTGATGTCCAGGCTCTTTTTTCTCTTTTACAGTTGCCTGGGGGCAAGGGAGCCCCAACCCCCACAGCTGGGTTAGGAGAGATGATTCCTTCAGGGTTTCTGGTCCTTTGTCCTTAGTTAGCCTGCTCCCTGTCCTTTGGCTCCTTCCCTGTTTCCCACACCAAGTAGGACATGTCATTGGATGAACTGTTTGTTTTCTGATCCACTTTCTCCTGAGTCTTTTTACCCTCGCCTTGAGACTGGTGTTAGGATGCTCATTTTATGGCAGGGAATAGCTGAGGTTGGCTGGTTAGCCAGGGTTAGCAAATGTAAACCAGGACTAAGCCAGGGGTGGAACCTGAGTCACAAGGCTCCCAGGTTTGTGTACCAGGATGAGGCTACAATTTATAGCCGGAGATAAAGAAAAAAAGAAAAAAAAAAAAAAAAACCAACCTCCTGAATAAACAGGAGGAATGGAGCTATAACCCCAGCCATTTTATATTTTATTTGGAGAAAGAGTTTGGCTAAGTGATTAGATTACCCAGGCTGGATTCAGATTTGGGACCTTCCTGTTTCAGCCTCCCACAGTGCTGGGATTACAGGCATGCACCATCATCCCTGGCTAGTGTTTGTATTCTTTATAGTTATATGGGTAATATTTGAGTGCCACAACAGCTGAGAGTATGGATAACGGAGGTTTTTAAGGCAGTGCATAAACAGAACTGAGCTCTCCTGCATCTCAGACTCATGCTGGGATGGTTGTCTTATCGCAGGCTTATTGCTGAGGTCAGATCATTTTGCCTTGGGCCAGGTTCCCAGCAGTGGAGCAATGGTACAGATAGCAATCCAAGGCCTCGAAGCCTTGGGAGCTGGAGAAACACAGAACTTTCCAGAGGGCATAAACAAGGCCAAGCCTTGGGCAGGGGGGCCAGACTTTGTGATTCTGTGGCAAAAGCAGTGCTGTCTGAGGTGGGAGCAAGGGAGGGCAGCGTGGACCTGTATGGGTTCGTTTTTAAAAAATGTTTCTTAAATTACATCAATTAACGTTTCTTAGGGAAAAGCAGATGCAAGAATGAGGCAGTCTTTTTCTTTCTTTTTTCCTTTCTTCCCTTCCCTTCCCCTCTCCTTCTCTTCTTTCCTTCTCACCCACTCTTTTCTTTCCCTCTCTCTTTCTCCTTTGTTTCCATAGAAGTGCACTGCCTTGCAGTTCTAAGCTGAAAGTTAGGGGCTGGTGGCTCAGGCTGCCTTCCCTGTGGCCTCTCCCCTGGACTGTGAGATGCCAGCATGCCCTGCCTTCACATGGCCAACCCCGTGCAGTCAGGACTCTGCCAACTGTTCCTCGAGCCCCTCCCTTGCTGCATCAATACTGGGAGTCTGATGTCTTATTGCTGGTTTAGAGGTGAAGTGCTCTGTGGAACTCCTGGGGAGAGTGACCACTCCCCTAGTGACAGTCCTAGAAAGGACACACTGATCTGGGACACTCGCCAGCCCAGCCAGTGTGTCCCTGCTGGACACCCTCTGTAGAGTGACATGCATGTAGGCCAACCTCCCCAGCTTCCGTAGGCTGGTGAGAGGCCAGGGTTCCCGGGGGTAGTGACATAGGCAGGGCAGCGTGGGACAGGAGACCAGATGATCTGTGGGAGGCAGCAACCATCATGAGGCTGTCACTCCCAGGCGGCTTGGCAAAGGTACCGTCTGTGTCAGCACCTCCATCCACACCCAGAAAGGTCCCTCAGGACAGCCTTTAGAGTCCTCTCAGACCCACCCCCAGTCCTTCTCTTGTCTCCCAGGGAGAAACTCGGCAACATGGAGTCGGTTTATATCCTGGACCCTAAGGATGCAGCTCTGCTCTTTAAGTGTGAGGGGCCGTACCCGGAGCGCTTCCTCATCCCGCCCTGGGTGGCTTACCACCAGCACTACCAGAGGCCCCTCGGCGTCCTGCTCAAGTGAGTCCTGTGTCCCCAGGCTGGAGGGCCACGATGGGGAAGGGAAAAAGCTAGGGAGGATGGCAGTGGAGTCCCTATCATTCTCATGCTGCCACAGAATGGAGGAGTGTGAGGATGGTGACAGGAAATGTCAGGCTACAGATCTGCATGAAAAACTCAAGATCCTTCAAGGTTCCCAGTTATTGCTTTAGTCAGTGAGTCCTGTCTGATGGAGAGCCTGATGTGTGGTCATGTGTCAGGGGTGCTGTGACAAATAGGCCCTGGGCCCTGCCACCTCAAGTGCCACATGATCTAAAGGAGCTGTGAGGAAGCCAATGCAGGGATATAGGATGGATACATTGTCATTGTCATACATTTCCAATGAGATCCATTGGGTCATTGAAAACAGAAAAAGAGACACTGTCGAGTGTTAACCCGGCCAGGGAGCAACTGAAATGCTCACCACTGATGATCAGGTGGTGGAAAGAAATATGTATATTTTAAAATTACCCTTTGGGAACAACCCAGGTGTGATGGTGCACACCTATATTCCTACAACTCTGGGAGGCTGAGGCAGGAGGATGGCAAGTTTGAAGCCAGCATGAGCAACTTAGCAAGAAAGATCTTGTGATGAAATAAAAAATGAAAACTCGGGCCTATAGCTCAGTGTGAAGGCCCCAAATTTAGTCCTCAGTATTGCTAAAAAACAAACCAACCAACAAACCAACAAAATGTGTGCCATGATTAAGCAGTTCTGAATGAGTCCCTAAAGTCCCCCTGCCTCAGTGAGTCCTGGGGCACTTTGAGGGGTGCAGAGGAAGAGTGGCCCATTTTGTCTGTGGAGGAGAGAACAGGTGACCTCGGAGGGGCCCTTGGTGATAAGGATGAACAAGGGCTGGGACACAGCATGGACAGGTGAGTTTTAGGGTTGTTGCAGTGGGAGAGGAGGGCAGCCAGAGCTGTGTCCTTGAACTCTTTGTTCCTTGTCCCCTCAGCCCAGGGGAGAGCACAGGGAGCAGGCACGGAGTGGTGCCAGGTGCTTGGGCTCGGGCTAAGCCCTTCCAACCCTCTGGCACTAGCCAGGCTAGGTTCTGTGACCATGGGCCTGTGTGTTCTCAGGAAGTCGGAAGCCTGGAAGGCAGACCGCTTGGTCCTGAACCAGGAGATGATGACCCCGGAGTCGATACTCAACTTTGTGCCCTTGCTGGAGCCGGTGTCCCAGGACTTTGTCAGCCTCTTACACAGGCGCATCCAGCAGCAGAACTCCGGGAAGTTCTCCGGGGACATCAGTGATGACCTGTTCCGCTTTGCCTTTGAGTGTAAGTGTCTTGCACCAGACGTCCCCCATATCTGCACACATCATGGGGGTTATCCTCAAGGCATGGGTCCCCTTTACCATCATTCCTCAAAAGTCAGAGGCTGGCTTAACTCTTCATTCTGCAAGTCTCCCTCCCCTGAGAAACAGACCTCAGAAGTCTGAGGAGACAGAGGAGGGTTGGGTGGTTAATTGGAGCTGGCTGTTAAAGGATGTATAGGAGTCATCTGAGCAAGATGAAAAGGTCAGGCAGCTTGGGTAGGGGGAGCAACACTTGCATATGGCTTGATGGATATGATGTGGTCACTGTAGGAGGTTTGGGGTGGTCTGGGATTGCTATAAAACCAGCATTCAAATTTCTCACCTAGTAGGCGAAAAAACCTTGAGGTTATTGTGGCCTCTTAGGCGTAGCCAGACTGTAATAGGAAATACAGTCTGTCTTGAAGGCAGGGCGGGCAGGGCAGCAGCTCCAGCCCTCTCCCCATTTCATGGTCTCCTGTGTGCCCTGTGGGGGTGCTGAGTGGTGGCCAGAAGAGCAGCTTTCTGCTGTCTCATAGGCCTCACTCTTTGCATCTCAGTTTCTTCCTTAGAGGCAGATGGCCTTATGGAGAGCACGGTGTGGTGGCGAGGGGTACAGAAATCCTGGGGCACAGGGGTTGGAAGGGGCTGCTCAGTGTCAGTGCCCCCACCCCTGCAGCCATCACCAATGTCATTTTTGGGAAGCGGATGGGGATGCTAGAGGAAGTGGTGGACGCCGAGGCCCAGCGGTTCATCAATGCCATCTACCAGATGTTCCACACCAGTGTGCCCATGGTCAACCTGCCCCCAGGGCTCTTCCGGCTCTTCAGGACTAAGACCTGGAGGGACCATGCGGCTGCGTGGGATGTGATTTTTGATAAAGGTAAAGGGCAAGACCCTTGGGTGGCAGAGACTGGGGAGGGTCGGGTGGAGAAGGGTGGCTGGGAGGTACAGAGTCAGTGTCCGCCTTGCTCCTTATACCCATGTGACCTTGGGCAAGTGGCTGTCTGTCTGCTCTTGTTCGTTTCTCTGGAAAACAGGGCTGCTATTACATGCACCACATGGTTGTGGGTCAAGAATTACACCACATAAAGGACTTGGGACAGATAAAGCGCCTATAGAGTGCCCCCTGTCCCTGAGACAGTCACCGCAAGGCCTCAAGCTCACATCCTTGGTCTCCCCCCACAGCCGACATGTACATTAAGAAATTTTACCAAAATCTGAGACAGAAGCAGGACTCTCAGAACAAGTACCCCGGCATCCTCTGCAGCTTGCTAGCCAGCAACAAACTGCCCTATGAGAACATTCAGGCCAATGTCATCGAGCTGCTGGCAGGTGGTGTGGACACGGTGAGTGGCGGTGGGCACATGTCAGGCCTCCCTACGCCCACGTGTGTTGTCAGAAGCCCTGATATTGAAGGGGGTCGTGCCCAGGTGGGTTCTGCTTTCTCTGCCTGGACATCATTCTAGGAGGGTGAGGTCAGAGGGTACTCACAGGGCCACATTACAGAGCAGTCAGCCAGCTTTTTTAGTGCTGGCACAAAGGAAGTGACTGGGGTGCCCTTTCTCTGGTACCCATGTGGGGCCATGGCTCACATCATTAGATTCTAGACTGTTTATATTACATAGGTCTGGCGTGGCACCCTCCTGGTTACCATGCTGCTCATGGTAACCTAGCATGGGAAAGGGCAAAATGCAACACTCAGAATTCATCTCTCTCCTGCATGTGTATTGCTTCTGTACACATACAGTTGAAAAATCCTTAAATTGGAACGTCCTAACCTGAGGGCTTTTATGCTAGGCAGTGAGGTCCTGGTTCCTCATGGAGTCTTTTTTTGTTTTTGTTTTGAGAAAAAAAGCAAAACAGAAAAAAAAATTCAAAATACCAAAAAAAATCACTAGCTAATAAATTACATTTGGGGTGGGTACCAAGGATTGAACTCACAACCTCACACTTGCCAGGCAGGCACTTATGACACTGAGCTAAATCCCCAGCCCCAATAAATTACATATTATCTTAGAAGTAGTTCAAGTTACACAATCAAAGCATAAAAAATGGACAATCAAAAAACAACAGTACAAACTATTGTTTGATGACCAACAAACACTTAGTAATATGGTTTTCTATCTTGCACACTTGATCATACATACAGTTATACACTTCAGAGCACTTTCCCTTTCATTATGACAATATCTATTACACATTTTAGATCCTGTTACTCTTTCAGTTTATTATTTTTACAATAGACATACAATGTAATATTTACAAATATGAGTGTGATTTATTTCACTTATGAGGATAGCCTCAAGTTGCGTCCATTTACCTATAAAAGCCTCAAAATCATCCTTTTTGTAGCTGAGTAATATTCTGTTGTATAAAATGGAGTCTTTTTTTTTTTTGAAAAAATTTTTTGTTGTTCTTTGAGACAGACTCTTGCTATGTAGTTGAGGCTGGCCTTGAACTATGTATCCTAGGCTGACCTCAAACTCACCGTGATCCTCCTGCCCCAGCCTCCTGAATGCTGGGATTACAGGGGTGTCTTTAAGGTGGGCCTGCATGTGGAGCCCAGATGTGGGAGGTGGTGGACAGTATGGCTTCTCAGATCCAGGGAGATAGAGACAGGCATACAGGGTCCCAGAAGCATTTGGGTCTGTCTTTGGGGTCCTTTTGTCATTTCCTCACCTCTCCTTTGGACCTTGAAGTCCAGAGGCTTCCACTGCAGGGCCTCCCTCCTGCTGTCCACACAGTATCCAGAGACTTCTCTGCATGTGGCAATAGTGATGAAATTTGACCTTTTCTTTTTCTTGGTACTGAGAATTGAACTCATGACCTTGTGCTTGCCAGGAGGGTGTTTTTGCCGCTGAGCTATATCCCCAGCCCTGAACTCAGGACATTTGCACTGAGCTATATACCTAGCCCCTTTTTAAAGGTTTTTTTTTGGGTATTTCTGAGTCAGGGTTTCACTATGCAGTTCAGGCTGGACTTGAAGTTTTTTTGTAGTCCTGGCTGGCCTCAGACTTGCAGCAACTTTCTTGCCTCAGCCTCCCAAGTGCTCTGGGATTACAGGGGCCATATTTGACTTTTTTTTTTGTGGTAAAGGCTTTATTTATTTATTTAGTGTTTGGTACTGGGAATTGAATTGCACTTGTCAGGCAAGCATTTATTCCATGGAGCTGTATCCCTAGTAAATGTTTTAATAAGTGACCCAGGTTGGGCTCAGACTTATGATCCTCCTGCCTCAGTCTCCAAAAGTGCTGAGATCCTAGCACATGTGGATATGACCTCCATTTCTCTATTGGGTTTTTTTCTTCTGAGACAGGGTCTTGTTATCTATAGTTATCTATAGTTTGACGGCCTCAAACTCAAGACAATCCTCCTGACTCAGCCTCCCAAAGGAGGGGATTATAGGCATATGCCACCATACCTAGTCTGCAACCTCCCCTCTTGACTTCTGGAACTCCTTGGTCCTGGTTTCCTTCTTTAAACTTTCCATGCTAATGTGATTTAATCATTAAGCATTTACGGATTACTAGCTAGGATGAGAGCACTGGGACCCTCAGGTGTCCCCAGACAGCTTAGAGAAGATATATGAGAGTCTCCTGTGGCTGCTGCAGCAGGACAGCCCAGGTAATGGCTTTGGCAAAGCTGAGATTCTTTTACACCTGTGACCTCTTTAAGATTCTTGTCTCAAATGCAGTCACGTTCTGAGGGATAGGCAGGTCAGTGCATAGCAGATGGCTGTGATGCGAACAGCAGGGCTGCAATGACAGAGCAGGCCCTGGTTACATGCTCAGGCAGGACAGGAAGGAGTTGATCTTCTGTTTTGAAGGCCTTGGGCATGGTGGTGGTGGGGGTAGGAGCCACCTGTCAGGACCAGGGAGGGGCCTGGTGTTAACCTCAGCAACTTAGTGAGATCTGGTCTCCGAATTAAACAATCCAAAAGGGCTGGGGGATGGGGCTCAGTATGAAGACCCTGGGTTCAGTCCTGCTGTGCTGCATGCATGCCTTGGGGTATTTAGCCAAGGTATTTTGCTTTGAAGGAGTTAGTCCCTGTTGCTGTTGGAGCCTCTGTGAATATTAGGGGTATAGTTCATTGCCAACTATGCAGAGGAGCTCCCCAAAAAGTGCTCCCCGCACCCAAGGGGCCTCACTAGGAAGCAACATTTATTTAACGCACTACCTGGCCGGCAGCATCTTAAGCTGCTTTTCACGTGTGCAGCCTCATTTACTGTTTGCCAAGGACAAGGTGAGATAAGTCATGAACATCCTCTTTTCTTTTAGATAAGGGGTCACAGACAGGTTAAATAGCTTGGCCAAAGTCACACAGCTAGTAACTTAATTACCTTATCAAATGAGTCCCTTCCTAGCACCTACCCAGTGGCAGACTTGGGAGGTACTGAGATAAACACCTGCATGCAGTTGGCGTTTTGAAGAAGTACACAATGGCTTCCTGTGTGCGGAGGAAATTGCAGGAAGCGGGGCTAGTGTGGGGAAGTGTGGGCCTTGGGAGCTGTGTGCAGCCCTGAGTGACCAGAGACCAGGTAGATGCTGATAGAGGGGTGACCAGCAGAGCCACAGGCAGGTACCAGGGAGGGGTTCAGACCTTTGTATGGCATCTGGAGGCACTGGGGAGCCAGGCAACAATTCACAGCTGAGAACGGAAGTTGTGCGGCTGTCTTTCATTGTCACCTCTCCTGGGAGGATGGAAGGGTATCCAAGCCTCCTAAGAAGGATAATGTGCTGAACATTTGTTTTTCAACCTCAGGAGGGGGATGTTCCCAGCTGGGAAACCTCCCTGTCACCATGGAAGAATCTGGGAGTGTGGGATTTGAGGGCCACTGGTCACAAGCCCCGTGTCATGATGTCATATTGACCTTGGCTGGTCTGTCTCTGGAAATCCCACATGCTAGTTGCAGTCCAGACAGATATCCCATCTGCTGTCTGGCTTTGGGACCTGTGACCACCACTCTAAGTCTGGCTGGGAGTGGGTGCTTGTTTGAAAGAGTTCAGGAGAAGGGGCAGCAGTGGGAGAAGTGACACTTCCAGAGGCAGGATTGGCTCCTGATGGTATAGGGAGTCCTTTGGAAGAAGGCGCTGCCAGGTGCTGATGCTCTATAGCTGGAAGGCAGATGGGTGCTGGTGACAGGAAGGCTGGGGACAGGGACAGGGACAGTGAGATCACCTTTCTTGGATGTATGCTTCTGCACATGATGTCTTAGAGATGGAGGTGAAGGTTGCGGAGGGATAAGTTCTTGGAGGGGAGAATTCAGCATGGGCCGGGGATCTCAAGTGAGGGTCCTGCCTGTCTCTGTGTTCCTTCCTCCTTTCCTCCCTGCCAGACATCCATGACCCTGCAGTGGAACTTGTATGAGTTGGCGCACAACCTCAAGGTGCAGAGCATGCTTCGGGCTGAGGTGCAGGCCGCCCGGCGTCAGGCCCAGGGGGACATGACCAAGATGCTGCAGCTGGTGCCTCTGCTCAAGGCTAGCATTAAGGAGACTCTGAGGTGAGCCCATCTCACCCCACCCCATAGTGCCTCCTGCCTGTTCACCCTGGTTGGGGTTGAGGGAGGGGTCCAAGGAAGGGCTGTCGGATATCAATCCAGGGTGTAGAGGAGTCTGCAGAGACTCTGGGAAGCCAGGGAGGAAATAGCCTGGCCTCCTCAGTTCCCGGGGTGGGGAGGGGCTGCAGCTGGGGCCTTGCTGGGGACAGGACAGGATGGAGAGTCTGGCCTGTGTCCCAGCCTTGGGGCCATGCATTTCCGAGTGTTCTCTTCCCCCAGGCTGCACCCCATCTCCATAACCTTGCAGAGATATATTTCGTGTGACTTGGTTCTCCGTGATTACTTGATTCCTGCCAAGGTAGGAGCAGGTTAGAGTTTCGGGTTCTGCCAATCAGACAGGGGCAGCAGGGGGCAGATGAAGAAGGCTGAAGTGGTGACAGATGGTGGCCATGGGCTCTGTCCTGCTTTCTTTTGGGCCCTAGGGGCTCTTAGTGGCCGTGGTCGGAGTTTGAAGAAGGGCAGGGGTAGTGGCACTGCCAAGTTGCTGATGCTCAAGAGTTTGGAAGTAGATCTCCCCATCTGCCTGGACCCTCATGGGCTCAGGATGGGTGGGAGGACCACTTGTTATCCAGTATTGTGTTTTCAGCCACCCTCATTTCCGGGGAGGGTAGGACCTGATTTGAGGTCACACAGTGGGCAGAATGTCCATGTCTGTATCTGGGTACCTGGGTACCTGGGCAGCTGGCTGAGGGTCAGGGCTGGGAGTGGGAGCACAGGAGCCTGGGAAAGCTGGGTGTCCTGCTCAGGCCTCTGGCCACCTTGTCCCCAGACACTGGTGCAGGTGGCCAACTATGCCATGGGCCGGGAACCCAGCTACTTCTCCAACCCCATCACTTTCAACCCAAGCCGATGGTTGGACAAGGACAAAAACCTCACCCACTTCCGGTACCTGGGCTTCGGCTGGGGGGTGCGGCAGTGTCTGGGCCGGCGGATTGCAGAGCTGGAAATGACCATCTTCCTCATCTATGTGAGTGGGGTTTGGGGACACTTGGGTACACTAGGTACCCTGTGCCTTGTGAAGTCACCAACCTGTCTCTGTCTTAGTTCCCAGTTACTTTCTCCTGGGCTGACCCACGTGTCACTCACTAGCGTCCCCAGGGCCATCATGATATAGGGTGGGGTGAGGTAGGGGGAGCGGTGGGGGAGGGTGTTGTAGCCCAGTTAAGGTCAAGGCCTAAACCCAGGGAACAGGATACCCATGGTGTATTTAAATGAGGAGTTGAGGCTACAGCCCTTGGGCTCCCCAAGGAGGTGGATGGGAAGAGGGTGACCCTGGCCTGGGGAGACAGCCCTCCACCCCTTCCCAAACTCATCCCCTTCTTCAGGTGCTGGAGAACTTCAGGATTCAGTTGAAGCAGTTCAAAGATGTGGGCACCAAGTTCAACCTCATCCTCGTGCCTGAGCAGCCCATCTACTTCACTTTCCTGCCCTTCAAAGAGGACACGGCCCAGGTGTGATCACAGGTGGTGTCCCTGACCTCTACCAACCAGGCTGAAATTGTGTGGGTAGATGGCTGAGTGGGTGCCACTGGGCCTTGCACCTGTGGTGCTGTGTCCCCACTCCTTCAGGGCAGGTGGTTTGGCTCAGTGGCCACCTGGGCCAGCTCAGAGCCGTCTTTCTGTCACCTCTGGCCCACTCTTCTCCATCTCCTGCCCTGGAGTGGGAAGACAATAAATGGCTGAACTATGGGAGTGTTTTTCTTTCCAATGGATCCTATGGTGCAGATTGGGACATGCAGGAGGGACTATGATGTGACCACCCACTCACAGCAGCTGGGAGGAGGCTGAGAGGAGAGGGTTAGTGCCTTTGTGCAGGCCAGGCATCAATGACAGAGGAGGAGGCAGGTCTTATCTGAGGATAGGGAGGCTTAGGCCAGTCCTGCCCTCTTGGATGAGACCCCCATGGGAGTCCCCTGCGGGGTTGGAAGGAGCTGGTGTGAGCAGCTTGGTCCCAGGACAGGAGCCAGCATGCTTCCTCCATCCCCTGACCCCGCTCTGGGTTTGCCTGTGCTTCCTGCCTGGCTCCGGGAAGATAAGTCCCTTGTCAAGCTCTGGGTGGTAGGCAGGGAACTGGAACAGTTTCTGGTGCATTTGGACTATGACTGTACCTGTCCAGGGCCCTTAAGTCTCTCTGAGTTTCTGAACTCTGGCCCAGAGCAGATAACAGCTCCTTGCTGGCCCTTGGTCCTCCAGATCTGAGTGCTGCCAGCAGGCAGGGGACTTGTCCAGCCAGGGACAGTGGCCCAACCTGCCTGGCCGCTTCTACCAAAGTTCTGCAAGGTTCAGGTCATCTCTCACAGCCTTTTACTTTCCCTACCATGCAGGGATACAAGATAACTTGTGTCTCTGAGCCAGTTTCTTCATCTGTCCCACACAGAGCTGGGCGTCTTTTTCTTTCCAGCACTGACATTTCTGAGCCAGAGATGACTCAGAGCCAAAGAAGAGAAAGGAAGCAGGATGGAGAGAAAAAGACAAGAGGAAGGGGCCTCCCTTCCTGATCCTCCTTCTCACCAACCTCCTGGTCCACTGTAGTCTTTGCTTTAGCTCTGGTTCAGGCAGGAGGTGGTAAGGCTGTGGCCAAGGGCTGGGGACCCGATGGGATCTGGCAGGAGGCAGCAGAGTCTGGGGCTCAGCTTCAGCATTTAATAAAGTCATCTTTAGGGGCTGGGGTGATGCTGCCCGGTGCACAGGGAAGGAGGAGGCCTGTGCAGGGCTCAGGTCTGCTGGGAGCTGGAGGGCTCCAGCTGGGTGTCTGAAGGCTGTTTGGGCTTGGGGTCTGAGTTGGGCAGCAAGACTTCCTGCTTTGAGGGCTGTTTGAGGTTGTTGGCATGGTTCGTCAAGGTATTCTGTGGGAGGCAAAGTGGGCATGTGAGTACACTCCCATTCCTGAACTTCCAATCACACTTCTGGAAGATTCCTCAACTCATCTGATCACAAAAGATGAAACCTAATTTCTCCAAGAGTCCATGGGCCCGGAAGGGCTTGCAGATGGTCTCTGGTGTCCTTGTCAGTCCCTGTGTCCTTGAAAGGCCCTTTCCAGGAATTTGCATCCTTAGCCATGAGTAAAATATTGAGGGCCAAGAGCAGAAGTCAGGCCTTTGGGTTGGTGTGAAGGCCCTGTTTGCTCCTGGGAAGCTGCCAAGATGGTGCTCACATCAGCTGTGTGGGGGCAAAATGGTGGGGGGTAAGAGAAGATTCTTGGGCATAATGAGTGTGGTGAGTGGAGGCTACCATTATGCTGTCCATGGGCACAGCCAGTCCTAGAATACAGGTAGTGACAGACAGAACATTCTAGAAGTGCCTGTGTCGGCCTCCCCTCATCCACAGTCATCTCTTTGTGGAGTCTCACAAGCACCTGTGCGGGGGGAGGGGTTCCTGTTCTCCCAGATGGCTGGGGAAACCGAGACCAAGTGACAGCTTCTGTTGGCAGCAGAGCAGGAACTGAGCTCAGGACTTCGGATCCCAGCCCACAGGTTGACCCTGTAAATTTCTCTCAAGTCTAGTGACTTAGAGATGGGGTCCCAGCCCTAACACCTAAACTCTAGTTATGGGGTTACTCATGGGTTGGTCAGTGATGAGATTTGGGGAGCGCCCAAAACCATGTTCTTGCTCCTGCAGCCGTGTGGCCAAGTTCTGCTTCTCTTGGCCCCATCGTCGGGCTGAGTCCTCCAACTGCAGACATGGACAGGGGCAGTGGAAGACCCATGTGCCTGGAGCCCATTAGGATCTGGGCCTGCTTGCTGGGCAGTATGCAAAGCTCCTGGCAGCATGGGCCTCAGACCTTCCCAAGGGACCTCGGGGGTGGCAGGGGAAAGGGTGACAAAAAGGACAGACATGGAGGACCTTCTCTGCATCATGACAACAGTCTGGTCACACACTGACCTCTGGTCCTAGCTTTACACTGAGCCCTGACTTTGGTCACAGACAGAGCAGTGGGCCTGGGCCCAGCTTGGCTAACCCCTGCATTTTACCCACCTGGCTTTTATACGGCTCTGCGCCTGCTCCATCTTGGCCATGAGGTTAAACTTGTCTGTAGTACTGGCCAGGAGATCCTGTGGGTAGAGCAGAAGTTCGTATTTGGCCCCAGTTGAGGCAGTGAGCCCAGGAACTCTTGAAGACTCGAGGTCCTGGAGAAGAGACCAGCCAGGTCTGAATCCAGTCAGCTCTGGGGGGCAGTGCCTCCCTCTGAAGTTCTTGGGCTGAGCGCCCTTTACAGCTATTTCCCTGCAGATTTGGGGCAGCACACTGTTTTAATGTACAAGGCCCCAAAAAGCTCCCAGTAGTGCTCAAGAGGGAGTCGGGCAGGGAGCCTTGTGCAGAGTGAAGAGTCCGGGAAGCCAGGGTCCCATCTTCATGTTCACCCTGAATGTCCACCATCGGGGGCTTCCAAAAGGAGCCCATCTCCTACAAGTCCTGTCCCATGTGCCCTACCCCACCAGCTCTGATTCCAAGCAGCTTGTCTTTAGATGTGTCCAGCAGTGGGCGCCGGAGCAGCCTGGATAGAGGAGGGGCTTGGGACACCCAGCTGTGCGGACAGGGTCTCTGTCTGCTTGTGGTGGCCTGGGCCATCTGTCTTTTGCATCCTCTCTGCCAAGTCTCCACCTGCTCCCAACTCTCTGGGGTCCACCTGGGTTGGGGAAAAGGGCTCTCCAGGGCTGCACCGATCCCAGGAAATGCTCTTAAAAGGGGTCTGACTGGGAGCCAGGAGCCAGGGGTTAGGGGTCAAGGGTCAGTCAGGGGCTTGCTTTCTCCCAGGCTAATAGGTGAGAGTCAAGGTGACATTCAGATGCATGCATTCCCAGGAGCTTTGGGCACATTGGCAAATCTGGGACACCCAGCTCCAAGCCTAGGTCTTTAGCTTCAATTGTGCTGTGGGTGAGTTTGGACAACTGGTGACTGGTACAGGTGGGATCAGGCCAAAGCATGGTGGTGGCTCTTACTGGCAGGGCCTGCTGCTGCAGAATGATAGGGGCTGGCTGTTGGTGGTTCTTTTCTAGCTCGGCCCATAGCCTTGAATTTTCTGCCAGTAGCACCGAGTAAAGGTCGACAGGCAAGGTTTCTCCTGTGGAAGCCAGTGGAAGGCCAGGGGCTGAGGGCTTGGGGAAAGCTGTGAACATGACCACAGACATGTGTGAGATGGGCCTTTCTGCCTCCATGTCCCTGCCTGATCAGTCCCAGCATTTTGCTCCTTGCTGTTCTTCTGTTCCCAAGCCATCGATGGCTCCCTACTGCAGTGGCACCAGGCCCACATTCCTAGGGCTGTCCTCCTGGCTGTTGGGAATTGGACTGCAGCATTTTACTCTCCTTTTCCCCAAGCATCTGCCATATGTGTATTTCAGGTTGTCCTCTCCCTCTTGACTGCCTCTCTCTGCTCCTAGCATTCTTGTTTCTCTCTCTGGGCCTTTGCCTGATTACATGCAGCTTTACCCAAGTTCCCGGGGACCTAATGGTCTCTGAAGGCAGGACAGGATTTCATTATTGTCTAATGGCTTTAGATCACCCAGGACTCCTGGCAGAGAGGTCTGAGCCTGGAGCCAAGACACAGAAGATGTCCCCTGCTTTGAGGTTCTTTCCCACTCTTTTCTGCCTATCCAAACTGCCTTGTGATGGGCAGTTCTAGGTGGCTGTGGTTCACCCAAAAGAGGACAACATTGGCTGGTTTGCTTTGCAAACAAAATCTTTGAAAATATGGGAAGACAGAAAAATAATTCAAAGGATTTGGTTAAGGAGTAGGGAATGCTACCCAAGGTTGCTCTCTGTGGGCCCCTGTGTCCCTGCTGTGTTCCCAGTGTGGCTCACACTAGTGTTTTCCTAGGGCCACTCTGGGATGAGGGAGCTCAGGGCCTTGGGGTGGTGTGGGCAGCACGACCCTTGCATCCCAACCCACAGATGTGACTAAGTAGGTTTTCCTGAAGCCGAGGCTCTGGAAGACTGGGCCTCCCTGGAGAGCTGGGCAAGGCCTGAGGAGTGGATCCCCCTCCTGTCCAGAGTAGATCTCGAACCCACCTGCATGCGGCTTTCCCAGCCGCCTGCTGGGGGGCGCGGTGCTCCTTTCTCTCCTGCAGCAGCTGGTCCTCCAGCACCTGCTCCATCTTTTCTAGCACCTTTGGGGTGGAGCATGAGGTGAGGCTGGGGGCACTACACTTTCCCATGTGCAGCCCCTGCCTAGGCGAGCCTGGCACCTGCCTTCTCATGGTGCCGTGCGGGGTCCTCCAGCGCCTTCATCTTCTGCAGCAGGACCTGGAACCGTCTCAGGGCAGCCTTTGGCTGCTGTGCCTGATACTGTTCCAGCCACTTCGTTTCTCGCTCATTCTTCTGCAAGGAGCAGAACGGAGTGGTGGGCAGGGAATGGGTGCCTGAGGGAAAGGATCTGCCACTGCCATCCCTCAAGGCTTCTCCCAGCCCTGCCCACCCCTCCTTCGCCACTCCCGCTTACCCGAATTAGCTCGTTCTTCATGCGCTGCATCCTCAGTTTCAGCACGCGCACACTAATCAGCCGCTGCAGCTTCTGTCTCATGGACATTGCTGGGGTAGGCAGGGAGTCGGCTCATGGTGGGCTCTCTAGCTCCCCTCATCAGAGGAAAGGGGAGCAGGTACCTCCCCAGCCCTGGGCTGGAGATAGGCTAGGCACTCCTTTCCTGTCTGAGAAGACACAGCTGGGTGGGGACCATGTCAGTGTCTGTGGGTGGACGGCGTGTTTGTGGTCTCCTGCCAGCCTGAATCCAGCTGCATGCACATCCGAGGGAAGTTCCCCACCCACCTCCCTGTCTTCAACACAGACCCCAAGGGGTGTCTAGATGTCTATGGTGGCCTGTGCTTTCTCACCCAGATCCTGGGGTCCAGTGAACCTGCTTCCTTTTAGCTCCTGCTCGACCAGGAGGTGCCTTAGTATCTGGTTCTCCTCCTCCAAGAGGCTGATCTGTTCCCGTGGTGACATCCTCTGCATGGCCCGCCAGTAGTTGTTCATTTCCTGGTGGGTGGTGGGTGGGCAGAGCCAGAGCTGATCCCTGGGCCCTTGGGAGCCCCCTTCTTATACCTGTACCCATGTTTGGGAGGCAGTGGTTCGTTTTCCAGGCTAAGTAGCAGCATGAGCCCTACACAGTGTCCCTAGGTCCCAGCAATTTGCTGGGGGGGGGGGTTGACTTGGTTCCCATCCTCTCAGCTGCATTAGGGCAGCTGCATAAATTGCTCTCCTGGCAGCCACGAGGGTTTTGCTGATGGCGGCTCAGAGGGAAACCAAGGGCATGGACCTCAGAGCAAAGGGTATGAGTAAGTAAACTGAAAGGATCAGGGCCACCAGAGCTTGTTAAGTCACAGCCAGTCTCTGCCATCTCCCACTTTCTTTCCCTCCTTCCAGTCACTAAGCCCAGGGGACAAACTCTTAGAAATCCCATTCATTGCATTTAGGAGCTGACCCTGGCATCAGCCTAGTAGTCAGGAAGGGACAGAGAGAAGTCAAGGAGACTCGGGGTCAAGGTCAGATGTTGGTTGCAGGATGGGGGCCAGGACGTAGGAAACAGAGTCAGTCCCTAGGTTAGGACCAGCAATACCAGCATTCTCTGAGCGTTTACTATGGTCCAGGCCTCCTCCTGAGTGTTTTACGTTCCACCTCCCATTCAGTCTTCACAACAAACCTATGAGGGTAGATGCTGCAATCACCCCATTGTGACAGATGAAGAAACCTCAGAGAAAGGCTTAGAGAGGCCAGTAACCTGCTCAGTGACCAAACCAGTGGCAGCAGGCCTGAGTCCCGAAACTAGGCCGTCTGGTGCTCAAGTGTTCTTACCTATTGTGCAATCCTGCCTGATGTCCACACACATAGACACCTCACAGGGTGCCAAGAAGTGACCAAAGCAGGCTACAAGAAGCCATAAATGTTCAAGTGGAGAAGTCAGGGCTGGGTGGGGAATGGTGTGAGCAGGGACAGACTTGCTTGGCGAGCTTGGTAACCTATGGACTCCCTGAGGCTGACGAAGTAGAGTGGGGACTCACTCCCAAGATCCTAGGGAGTAGAGCTCTGCCCCCAACCCCCACTTGGGCCTCATGCTGTCTGGGGAGGTGGTCTGGATAGCCAGTCACTGCCTCCCACCTGCTGCATGCAGGCCACTGGCTTCTAGGGAAGGAGCCTGAGACAGCAGGGACCCATCAGCCACCACTTGTCACCTGTCACTGACTACCCCTCAGGCTGGACTCCCTCTAGCTGGTGATGCCAGTGTTGGGCCTATGTCAGCAGCTCTGGCCCAGGCCAAGGTCCAGGTCTTGGATTTTCCCAATTTGCCCATCTGGCGTCCTCAGACAGCACACTGGCTGAAATGCTCAGCTCAGAGACCACACAAAAGACTACAGTGAGGACAGGCTGTGTGGGCTCAGGACTTGGGCTCCTCAGAGTCCTCCTGGTGGGGACACCCATGCTTTGAAGTGGTATGTGGAGCCTCTGCTTGGGCAGTGCTAACTCAGAGGCACTGTTTGATCCCTTCCCATTTTCTCTCCTCCTCACCCTTGCTCCCTGCTCTGCTGTGCTCTGGGACTTGATTTATGGACTCTGGAAGCCAGGCAGGCTCACTGGAGAAAGCCCAAGGTGCTGCTGCAAAGGAAATTTGCCCCTTTTTTTGCAGCCTAGTACAGCCTCTCATGGTGTCTGCTTGGGACAATGACCTACACGTGCGCATACACAGTCAGGAAATCGTGTTCAAGAGTGCTCACCGCAGCACAGCTTGGTCTTCTGTTAGTGCACACTTGGCGTCTGCTCAAGTCACAAAGAATGACCTGGAATTAATCATCAGGACACAGGGACACCCACCCCGCCTTGTGAAATGAAGAGGGTACGGAGAAATGAAGAGGCTCTCCCCATAACCGGTGGGGACATGAAAACCTGAGGGGTCCCAGGATGGGGTTACTAGCTGGACAGCCATCCTATGGGTCTGACTCACACAGAGGCTGTAAGACCCCACTGTTACCAAACTCCATTATCCTCCTCCTCTTCCTCAACCCTGGGCTTGTGTGCTGTCTAGTGACAGCACTCTCCCTTGACACAAATGACAGCTGAGACCCAGAGCAAGGAGGAAAGTGACCCAGGGGCATCTGAGTTCCTGGGGAGATGGGTGTCTCTGCCAGGATCTCCACACTGTGACAGCCCTGCCTACTGCCACTGTCCTACCTTGGCCCTAGCCTTCTCTCCTCAGTCCCATGTCCCTTGGAACCATGGGTCTTGTCCTTTCCTCCTCAGTTGGCTCCACCTTCCTGGTGGAGTGGGGACCTTGGGAGACCTCAGCCTGCGGGCAGCAGCTCTGACCTGTCCCCATAGCTGAGGCAGGGCTCTCTCAGGGCCATGCTGTGCGTCACAGCCTTGAGAGTATGTGGATACTGTGCCCCAGATTCCTGCAAAGGTCCCGTTCCCCCAACCTGTGTCCTTCTCTTGGGGCTGCCACATCCTCCAAGGGCACCAAACAATACCTGACCCTGAGCACCCATCGTCACCCACTGACACTGTCACCTCCAGGACCTTGATCCTCAAAGCCTGCCCAGATGAGATAAGCTGGGGCTCCCAAGCTGTCACCAAGCACTGGTGACCTTTGCCACAGCAATGCCCCCACTTTGGCTTGGGAGGGTGGCAGCTGTGCCCTGAGCCTCAGTGTCGTCTTCTAGGGATGGAAAACCACAGTCCTGGGGTTGCTGTGGGTGGGGGAGCATGGGGACTGGCTGGGCCTTGGTGCTGGTTACCTGGCTGTTAACTTCCTTCTCTGTATGCATTACTTTAATCATTCCCTCTGTGAGTTCTTTAATCATTCTTAGGAGAGTGCTGGGCACTGGGCACAGAGGTGATCAGGTGACGGTGCCCACGATACAGAGTGAGGCAAGAGCACAAAGGAGGATGGCAGGGTACTACTGAAACAGCAGTGGGTGCTTCTCGGCTCCCTTCCTCCGGGATAAGAGGCCTTGTCGTGGCCCTGAGGACCCCGGCCCTAGTAGTCGTTCCGCTATACCCACAGCCACTACCAACCCCAGGGGTCAGAAGGATGCTCATGCCCTCCTTGTATGGATGGGGAAACTGAGACTGGGGGGGGGTGTGGTCAAGGTCCTCAAGGCTTCCTTATGAAGCAGTGCAGCAAACTCCTGGCCTATCAGGATGTACTGAGGGCACTAATGTTCCTCCCCACAGTGCCCTGCACACCATGGTGGTAGCAGGAGTGTTCTGTGCCGAGAGCTCAGAGGAACCTCTGTCTCAGCCCAAGGATCCTAGAAGGCTTCCTGGAGGTGGTGACAACCTGAGCTGACTCTTAGGTAAATGGGTTCTATCTGGGGTGGTATGAAGGGTCCCAGGTGGGGTGAGAGAGCAGGTGACGGGACAAAGTGGGTGAGTCGCTGAAGGGTAGTGGGGAGGGGACGGGAGAGAGGCAGAGGAGGGTGAGGTGGGGGTGGCAAAACAAGACCTGTCTCACTGCCAGTACCAGGAAAGGATGGGGACAAAGGCCCAGAACAGCGTTCTAGGAGGCACACAGCAGGGCCGTGCCAGTCAGAGGGCAGTGGGCATGGAGAGGGGATGCAAAGATGAGGGGTGAGGGGGAGAGCAAGTGGGAAGATGGCCACAACGGCTGGAGCTTGGGAAGGAGCCAGTCTCCAGGTTCAGATGTGTGGGGTAGGAGGAGCCCCGAGAGGCAAAGGCCAAGGGACAGCACAGGCTGGCAAAGCCAAGGCCACAGAGGGCTTCTCAAGAGATTGGGGTGTTGGAGCCAGGGCACTGGCTTTGCCCTGCCATGCACAACCTCGCCTCCTTCGCCTGTATCCTGGGTATCCCGCTCTATTCCACAGTCCTCAGCCCAGGCCACTTGCATGTCATTAGACATGCCAGCAGAGGGCAGCCGCCTCCCACAGACACTTCCTCTACAGCCCCTGGCTCTAGAGCCAGGCCGGGCAGGTGTAGTGCTGCATGCCTGTAATCCCAGCACTAGGGTGACTGAGGCAGGAAGATCAGCAAGAGCTCAAGGCCAGCCTAGACTACACAGCCAGATCTTGTCTCAAACAGATTAATAGAACCAGGCTGGGTCACAGTGAGCAGGCCCCATCGGAGACAGCCTGGTCTACCTCCTCTTGATACTCCTCCGCTCCTGGAATGCCAGCTGATGTGCGTTACCTACCCTCGCTGCACTGCGGTCCGGCTCAATGTCTGCACCCCACCCCCAGGCCTCCCAGCTCCCGGCCTCCCTTATGGCTGGTTCTCGGTTCTCATTGTGATGCCTCCATACAGGATCTTAGGCAGCTGAAGGTTGACAGCTCCTCACTCCCCTCCCCAGATATGGGCTGGTGGCCTTGGGGACTTGCAGGAGGCAGCTGCTAGCCTGTGGTTCCCTGGACAGGCCAAGAGGTGAGATGAGCCCTGTGTGCCCAGCCCTGAGTTGCCTCACCTCTGCCCATGTCATTTGCAAAGAGCAGGACATGGGGAATAGAGTTGGTCCCCTCTGCTGGGCCTCACATGACATCCTGACCTGACAGAACTGCGACGTCACAATGAAGGCAAAATGATTTAGGTGATCACCCGGAAGTGATTTTTAGGCATAACAGACAGGGAGACTTTGACCCTGGCATCTTGGATGAAAGTCCTCCGTGGCTCCCCTGTGCCCACATCACGCTTCTACCTTTGAAGTTCAAGGCAGCTGGTCCCACGTAACTTGGCCTCCTTGCACAACTGAGCTCTGGCTTCTGCACCCATGGGCCCAGCTTTCCAGGGCCCTTTACTGCTGTGGACCTCACTGCTGTGGACAAGTGGCCATTCTTGCCCCATGCAGCTCAGTACTCATGTCTCTGTGCCAGGCAAAGGCCTCTCTTAGGCAATGTATGGGTCAGCATCACTCCTGCCACACTTGGCACACTGCAGACCTGGGGCATGACAGAGGCCTTTCCTGCTAATCTGTTATGCAATATGTTAAGGAAATCAATCACAGCACTTTTAAAATAAAAACAAACATGTCACCACCAGAGGGCAGGCAAGGGAGGCCTGTGAGCTTCAATGGCAGGGCAGGACACTGAGGCACAGAGCTGGCCAGATGGGGCAGTAAAAGCTGATACAGTGGGAGATGCCATACCCCAAGACAGAGGGCAGGGCTCAGAGGTTTGGGCAGGGCACTCTCTTTGACGGGACCTTGGCCCTGGGAGGGGAGTCTGGCACTAGTGGGGGTCCCCTCTGCCCCAGGGAGTATTATTATAAATTTCCCTTCTACTTCCTCCTGCAGCAAGGCTGGCAGCCAGAAGCTACACTCCAAGATCAGCTCTGCTGGAGCGGAGAGACCACAGTCCTCAGAGCACCACCAGTTTCAGGACGGGGACATGACAGAGGGACTTGCTCACCAAGTATAAAGAAGAGGCAAAGAGTAAAGTCCCTCCCTCCAGAAGGCAGAGCCCATTCTGGATGGGATTCTGGAGGTGGGGATGCAATGTACAGCACAAGCCACAAAGTACACAGGCTTGCATGGCCAAAGAGCTGAGTGGACCTCACCCGTGGGGCTTAGACCCCTGCCTCGGAACAGAAAGCAGTTGGGAGCCATGGAAGTTTCCAGCACCAGGGCCTACCCACCCTAGGTGCTGCCCCTTGGATACATCCCCTCGGATGTGGCTGGGTCTCCTCTGCCACAGCAAATCTGCACCAAGTGCTGTTTAAAACAGGTTCCCTGTTCCACCAGGCCACATGGCCTCCTGGGAAGGGGAGGCGTTGCTTCTTTGTTCAGCCCAAGGTTACATCAAAG